TTTCCTGACAACCTGACATGACAGATCTTTCCAAGCTACATCCATCACCTGTCTACTGGCCAATGGAATCCACGTCTGTACAGCTAAACTAATGCCACCGGATGTCCTGCAAAGTCAGGAGCAAGTCTGCTTTTAAATTCAGAAATAAATCATTTTCAACATCATTGCCAATCAACTCATTGACTTCATGAATTGTCCTCTCTCTTACTAAAGGCTTTGAAACTCCAGAAAGGTTTTTATCCTACAATAGGTGATGAGAAAAAAAACAAACATAACTTGCATACCAGTTGTAAGAAATGAAGAGGGGCAAAAGTTTTGGAGGCATGAACTAATCAATGCCATGTAGTTCTCTTTAGCTTTTATAATTATGAAAGAAATCATTCCTGAGCATTATTAAACACACCATGCAGCAGCAGCAAAGCTCTAGCCTAATTTGTGTTCTCAAATGTAAAGGAATGACGCATTCTCAAATCTAAAGGAATGACACATTCTCTGTGATCAGGTAAGGGATGAAGGTACACACTTCATACAATTTTTTAAGCTGCAATTTTTTAAAAAGAAGTGATACCAGAGACCAGAGTCAAATAATCTAAAGTAGAATTATTTTAAAAGGAAACTTGGGGGCTGAGGTGTAGCTCAGTTGGCAGAACACTTCAGAAGCATGTCAGAGGTTGGGTTCCAAACTAGTACCCCTCTCCCTAAAAAAAAGAGAAAGAAAGAAAAAAATGTTGTTGCCTCACATAATCAAAATGCTAGCAAGCTTCCTAATTTTGAAGTGCTATGGACATGATCACATGAAATATTGGCAATTTTTACAGATCACAAACTGAAAATTTTCCAACAAGCCTATTTAAGTTTTTATGATACTAAGATAATAGATTATTTCAAGATATCTATTTAGGACTAATGGTTATTGCAATAAATTTTATTTTTATGAACCATGATCATTTAGTTAGGCTCACAAAAGGTTCTAAATTTCAAACTTTAAAATGCTGGAGACAGAAAGGCATAAGAAATATCTATTTTTTTCCAGGTTCTATGGTTCCTTCAGGCAGAAGAATTCAATTCATAGCATGCTTCCAGGATACTATAAGGTAGCTTAAAGCTGGCCATATGGACCCTAGTTATGAGCAATACAAGGAGAAAAGACAATTATTGCACCAGAATTGCCATCATGAGGTATTATAAATAATATCAAAGTCAGATTGGGTCAGTGCTCTGAGGGTTTAATTGTCTTCAACATCAGCGATTGCCTAAAAAATTATGCTTAACAAATCATTTGTCTCAACATAGAAAAAAAGTTTATGCTTCTCTGTAATTAAAGAAATGATAAGTTTTTTAAATGGAGAGCAATATTTATTTTACATCCACCATCTGCTTTTAAGGTATATATCTTACAAATAAAAATACTATACCTTTTACAAACAAGAAAAGAATGACAAAGAAAAAAGAAAGAACCTCAAACAGGAGTTGGAAACTCAACTGATTCAGCACAGCTTTGCAGTGTCACATAAAAAGTCTATGTAGAAAGCTGCATGAGACTGTAAAACTTCTGTTTATGGACTTTGATCCAACCTGCCATAAAACTATTCCTCACTTAGTATCTTCTATTTCCATTATATGCCAAATATTCTCAGGCTTTTGCCTGGTACAAAACAAAGCAATAAAATTTAACCATCTCACTATTATAATACTAAATGACCTAAAACATTACCCACAATCACTGAGCTGGTTAGTAACCAATGAAAGATAGCTTTATTCTAACGTGCCATCAAGAATAACTGTTAAGAGGCGTTAGCATCAAGAAGGCGACATTTGTAAATGCATGCACAGTAAAGTCCCCAATTAACACAGCATCTCAGGCCTGTAAGACTGCAAGTAATCTAGAATAATTTGATTCACTAGAGTCAAATTAATTTCTACATCAATACATTATGCTATGAATTATTCATGTGACACCCTTAAATTCGCATAAGCAGGTTTTGACTACTGGAAGGAACTGCTTCTATACTAGAAGCTATAGCTTTTAATGAGGTACTTAGCTCTGCACTTGAAGATAAAATATAGAAAATAATGAAGTATAGCAGCCTAACTGCTTTCCAGGTCCACCAAAATTCACAGGTGTTTTTGAGAATTTAGGAATGCCAGAACTTTCATCACTGAGTGCAGATCACTCAGGTCTGGGGATAGGATAGAAAAGCATGCCTGAATGGCAAATGACAAGAAACAATGTAGAAATAGTTCCACCAGCAAGCTCTATTACTGGTGCAAATGCACAATCTAAGTGAATTCAAAAGTCACTGTAAATTTTAAAATATGCCACATGCCTCTACAGACTATTCTGTGTCTTGCCTTTTCTAAATCACATACAGTATTCGTCTTACACTTACAATGCCTAACAAAGTGATACGAACTTTTAATTTTTAAAAAACAGGGCTATAAAGTTAAGATGTATACAATAAATTTTTATCACTATAATGCGACCACACTGGGCTTAGTAGTCTGACATTTTTATAACCAACTGATGTCCACCTTCTTACTCTTATTTAAAAATCTCCAGTTAATGCCACCAGTATAAAGCCAAACTGGAATGTTATTTCATGAAGGCCCTCTGGATGCACAAAAATTCTGAGATTATATTCTTTACACTGACATCTCCAGCACTTTATAACTCCTAAACTTGAGGGCCTGCACCACACTCACTACTCAAACATTTTACACTTTCGTTTTCCAAGTTGTACTCAACATAGTCTTCTCTTAACACGACCCCCCCAAAGTGTTCAACCTACTGCCATCATCAACCATAACTAAAAACTGTAATTGAAAAACAAATCTCTTGGAGTTTTGGATCTAAATTTTATAGTTAGCACTGTCATTTTAAGAACTGGGGATTTAATCCTATGCTACATGGGAGAAGAATAGGAAAAGAAATGTAACTTAACTCTGTTTTCCATAAAATGTTGCTACATTTTCAAAGTTTTGGTAGGTTCTGACAGTATTCTTACTAGTGAGCACTATCACTGCATTGTCCCAAGTTTTTGACTTTAAAGGGAAGTTTATGCAGATTTATTGGACAAGACCCCTCCAGCACATGTTAAAGCTCAGCCTAGTTCTCTGCCTCCTCCGTTCTCTGTGCCCCAATTCAATGACTGCAGAAGGGTGGGAGTGTAGAGGATTGAAAAGACACTGGTGACAGATGGCCTCAGTAGCAGGTGACCCCTGAAAACTGTTGGCTCACAGCAATGGATTCTAGACCCAGATGGCCTTAGTGCCTCACCTCAGACCCGCAGAAAAGTGCTGTTCAAAAAGATCACTTTTAGAAAGAGCACTTTCCTTCCAGAGCTATCCTCTGACCCCTCTGGATTTTGAAGGAGGAAGGCTAAAGCAGGAAAGATGACTTATAAAGGTGGGGTGAGTACTTAAAGAGAGGAGTATTAGATTTGTCCCTGAGCCCTCTTCTGTCAAAAGACCTCCCAAATCGCCACCAAGTCTGAACGTTTCCTAGGAAAAACAAGATTAAAAGGGCCCAAGTAATAGATGTGCAAGAAAGTAGAGAGAGACAAGTGACCGTCGGTTTTCAATGAGGCATCTCCCGCAGGTGTGAGGGGCACTATGGGACTCAGGCTGGGGAATCGCGCCCCAGGGAAAGTGGAGGGAGGGATGCTGAAAGAAATACCTCGTTTTCTTTCCAAAGGGCAACATTGCAAACGTGGGCGGGGGGTCCTTTCCGAACCCGGCTGAGGCTGGAATCAGGAGGCTCCAGCAGTGAAGTCGCTCCCGGGTTAGGTCAGCGCAGGACCCGCTGCCCAAGGCCCTAGCCCCGCGCTCCAGCGGGTCGCAGCCTGCTGGCCCCGCGCTGCGTCGCCCCCTGGCGGGAAGCGCCCGACAAAGCCGCGGCCACGCGCGGGAGAGTGGGAGCCAGGCGCCCAGTCCGGCCTCCTCCACCTTCACCGTCCTGGACACCGCAGCCCTCCAAGCCAAGGCGGCCGGCACAGCTGTGCAACGGCCACCGCCGGCGGGGCTCGGGCCCCTTCTCCAAAGGCAGCCTTAGTGTGCGGCAGACCCTGGCCGCGACCGACCCCGCACCGACTCCGACGCCTCTCAGGAATCCACGCGCCAGGCACTTCTCCCCGCTCTTGTCCGAGCTCCGGTCCCAGTTCGTCCCAACCGTAAGGCAAGCTGTTCCCACGCGGGTCCAGACTGCCCGCCCCGCAGCCGCCTCCTAAAGCACAGGCTCCTGCCCCCGCCCCCGCAACGGCCGCCCGGGGCTTGGCTCAGGACCAGGAAGCGCTGGCCTCGGGTCTAGCGGGACCCGCCAGCCCCTGGGGTCGCTCACCATGGCGCCTCCCTTGCGCTCTTTGTGTGCGCCCCGCAACCCGGGCAGAACTTTCCTTTCCGCACTGCCATGGGCGAAAAAGCAAGTGAAAGGAAGCGCGGGACAATCGAGGGACTGGAAGGGACAGAAGAGGACACACTCACTCTGCAAAGACTCCGGCATGTTGCTGCCCTAGGGCTTCCTCGCCGCCCAGCCCTGCCCGGCTTCCCCGCCCGCCAGGGTCAGCGCGAGGGGGGCCAGGGGAGGAGCGGAGTCACCCGGACCCCGCTGGCCACGGCGCTTCCGGAGCTGCAGGGAAGGGGCTCGGACGCTGTTTTGGTTTTGCTAAGCGGGCTTAGGGACCCGGGAGGTAAAGGGGCCGGAGGAAGGCCGGGAGCGCGGGTGTGCGAAAGGAATTTTGCTTCTGGGGAATGCGGAGACCGGAGTCGCACGCACATTTTTGTATTTGAACTTTGTAAGCTGGCTTGGACCCGACGCTAGAGTTTTGCGACTGCGCTGGCTTCAAGTGGAGGACTCTGCCCCACACAACCCCGAGACCTACTTCAAAGCCAAGGGGCCTGGAGACAGGGTTTGTTTTATGGTAAACGGAAGGGAATTCAACAGAGGCAGAGATTAGCCCTGAGTTGCGCTCCAGCCCCCGTGTTGTCAGTGGTCCTCTTCTTACCTGGTGGCTTTCCTAACAAAGTAAGAGAAGGTGAAGTCCCAGTGATCATCCAACCAGGCTTCCACCGAGTCCGGGTTCTGCTGCTGCCACGGCCGCCTGACGCTGGGGCCGGCCGGGTCCATGGTCTGCGCCGCGCGCCTCTGCGGCTGGCGGGTGCGGATTTCCACCCCGCCAGGGTCTCTTGCTCGCTGGAAGCGCGGGACAGAGACCGAGACCCTCCCCTTTCCCTGCTGCAGTCCGCAGGCTTTCAGCCAAGGGCCTGGCTCGGTCCGGCCTCCAGCCCCGCCTCGCCCCGCCCACCCGCCCGGCCTCCTAGCTCCAGGCTCCCGGGTTCCAGGTGTGGCAGTCAGGGTGGCGCTGCAGCGCCAGCCCTGCTTGGTGTCTGGAGGAGTCCAGTTCTCAAAGTCTTCCAAGTTCCGGAGTTCCGAAGCAGCCTCGGGGGCGATAGACGAACTCAATGCAAACCAAGTGGGCACCTCCAGAAGGAAGTCAGGCGGCCGCTGGGATGCGCTGTGTGTGGAGCCCCTGAGGAGCTTACTCAAGGTGACTGGGTGTGATCAGAAGATCCCATTATAGGAAAGGGAAGGTTACAATGAATGGAACCCAACTCAAGCCTAGAAGGCAGAAGATAAGGAAGTTTCACCTGAAAGTGAGAGATGATGCTAACCTAATGCTTGTCCTTGCTCCTGGGAGTGCAATGACTTCCGCCTCCTTCTCTCCATACAAGTGTTTGGTCCAGGAGAACCAGGACCAACTTCCCTTGGAACCTAGTCTACGCCCTGGCCAAAAACCTCAGTCACCCGCCATGTCTGGGCTGGAGAATTGAAGCTTTTGCCCTCAAGAGAGGATTGTGGGCGTAGATGTGTAATTTCCAGCAGGACGACCCGTGCTTCATGTTAACAATAGTCAAGAATTAAATGTCTTTAACCATTGCACCCCACACCTTTCTTAACTGGAAAAAAAAGGATTTTCTGGAAAAAGAAAAAGGCAAACAATCACGATGCTTTGCCATATGAAGGTAGAAAACAAGGGCACCTCTGAACAATTAGGTTAATTTGATAGCACCAGCATTAGCTACCCAGGTTCAGTCCAGAGCAACCAGTTAGCCCAATTTTAAATTAATTCATCATTTTTATGTACTGGAATTAACAACCCCCTAGAAGTATCCACTAAAAAGGGCTCAGTCTTCCAACCCTATTTTGTCCACACCCTTATAAGTTGCAAAAATAGAAGAAAAAAAAAAGAGTTGATTCCATCCTTCGCTTTGTCCTCATCCCAGTCTCCCTGTCCCACAATTGCAATTTTAAATATTTGCAGTGACCTAATTTTTCTTGGCAGACTTAAATCTGGAGTTGTATGTTGC